CCTCACTCCCTCCCTGCTCTCATGCCTCACTCCCTCCCTGCTCTCATGCCTCACTCCCTCCCTGCTCTCATGGCTCACTCCCTCCCTGTTCTCATGCCTCCCGCCCTCCCTGCTCTCATGCCTCACTCCCTCCCTGCTCTCATGCCTCACTCCCTCCCTGCCCTAATGCCTCACTCCCTCTCTGCTCTCATGCCTAACTCCCTCCCTGCTCTCATGCCTCACTCCCTCCCTGCTCTCATGCCTCACTCCCTCCCTGCTCTCATGCCTCACTCCCTCCCTGCTCTCATGCCTCACTCCCTCCCTGCTCTCATGCCTCACTCCCTCCCTTCTCTTATGCCTCACTCCCTCCCTGCTCTCATGCCTCACTCCCTCCCTGCTCTCATGCCTCACTCCCTCCCTTCTCTCATGCCTCACTCCCTCCCTGCTCTCATGCCTCACTCCCTCCCTGCTCTCATCCCTCACTCCCTCCCTGTTCTCATGCCTCCCGCCCTCCCTGCTCTCATGCCTCGCTCCCTCCCTGCTCTCATGGCTCACTCCCTCCCTGCTCTCATGCCTTACTTCCTCCCTGCTCTCACGCCTCACTCACTCCCTCCTCTCATGCCTCACTCCCTCCCTGCTCGCATGCCTCACTCCCACCATGCTCTCAAGCCTCACTCCCTCCCTGATCTCATGCCTCACTCCCTCCCTGCCCTCATGCCTCACCTCCTCTCTGCTCTCATGCGTAACTCCCTCCCTGCTCTCATGCCTAACTCCCTCGCTTCTATCATGCCTCACTCCCTCCCTTCTCTCATGCCTTACTCCCTCCCTGCTCTCATGCCTCACTTCCGCCCTGCTCTCATGCTCTCACTCCTTCCCTGCTCACATGCCTCACTCCCACCCTGCTCTCATGCCTCACTCCCTCCCTGCTCTCATGCCTCACTCCCTCCCTGCCCTCATGGCTCACTCCCTCTTTGCTCTCATGCCTAACTCCCTCCCTGCTCTCATGCATATCTCCCTCCCTGCTCTCACGCCTCACTCCCTCCCTGCTCTCATGCCTCACTCCCTCCCTGCTCTCATGCCTCACTCCCTACCTGCTCTCACGCCTCACCCCCTCCCTCCCCTCATGCCTCACCCCCTCCCTGCTCTCATGCCTCACTCCCTCCCTGCTCTCACGCCTCACTCCCTCCCTCCTCGCATGCCTCACTCCCTCCCTGCTCTCATGCCTCACTCCCTCCCTGCTCTCGCGCCTCACTCCCTCCCTGCTCTCATGCCTCACTCCCTCCCTGCTCTCATGCCTCACTCCCTCCCTGCTCTCATGCCTCACTCCCTCCCTGCTCTCACGCCTCACTCCCTCCCTCCTCTCATGCCAAACTCCCTCCCTGCTCTCATGCCTCACTCCCTCCCTGCTCTCATGCCTCCCACCCTCCCTGTTCTCATGCCTCCCGCCCTCCCTGCTCTCATGCCTCACTCCCTCCCTGTTCTCATGCCTCCCGCCCTCCCTGCTCTCATGCCTCACTCCCACCCTGCTCTCATGCCTCACTCCCTCCCTGCTCTCACGCCTCACTCCCTCCCTGCTCTCATGCCTCACACCCTCCCTGCTCTCACGCCTCACTCCCTCCCTCCTCTCATGCCTCACTCCCTCCCTGCTCTCATGCCTCACTCCCTACCTGCTCTCACGCCTCACCCCCTCCCTCCCCTCATGCCTCACCCCCTCCCTGCTCTCATGCCTCACTCCCTCCCTGCTCTCACGCCTCACTCCCTCCCTCCTCGCATGCCTCACTCCCTCCCTGATCTCATGCCTCACTCCCTCCCTGCTCTCGCGCCTCACTCCCTCCCTGCTCTCATGCCTCACTCCCTCCCTGCTCTCATGCCTCACTCCCTCCCTGCTCTCATGCCTCACTCCCTCCCTGCTCTCACGCCTCACTCCCTCCCTCCTCTCATGCCAAACTCCCTCCCTGCTCTCATGCCTCACTCCCTCCCTGCTCTCATGCCTCCCACCCTCCCTGTTCTCATGCCTCCCGCCCTCCCTGCTCTCATGCCTCACTCCCTCCCTGTTCTCATGCCTCCCGCCCTCCCTGCTCTCATGCCTCACTCCCTCCCTGCTCTCATGCCTCACTCCCTCCCTGCTCTCACGCCTCACTCCCTCCCTGCTCTCATGCCTCACACCCTCCCTGCTCTCACGCCTCACTCCCTCCCTCCTCTCATGCCTCACTCCCTTCCTGCTCTCATGCCTCACTCCAACCCTGCTCTCATGCCTCACTCCCTCCCTGCCCTCATGCCTCACTCCCTCCCTGCCCTCATGCCTCACTCCCTCTCTGCTCTCATGCCTAACTCCCTCCCTGCTCTCATGCCAAACTCCCTCCCTGCTCTCATGCCTCACTCCCTCCCTGCTCTCATGCCTCACTCCCTCCCTGCTCTCATGCCTCACTCCCTCTCTTCTCTTATGCCTCACTCCCTCCCTGCTCTCATGCCTCACTCCCTCCCTGCTCTCATGCCTCACTCCCTCCCTGCTCTCATGGCTCACTCCCTCCCTGTTCTCATGCCTCCCGCCCTCCCTGCTCTCATGCCTCACTCCCTCCCTGCTCTCATGCCTCACTCCCTCCCTGCCCTAATGCCTCACTCCCTCTCTGCTCTCATGCCTAACTCCCTCCCTGCTCTCATGCCTCACTCCCTCCCTGCTCTCATGCCTCACTCCCTCCCTGCTCTCATGCCTCACTCCCTCCCTGCTCTCATGCCTCACTCCCTCCCTGCTCTCATGCCTCACTCCCTCCCTTCTCTTATGCCTCACTCCCTCCCTGCTCTCATGCCTCACTCCCTCCCTGCTCTCATGCCTCACTCCCTCCCTGCTCTCATGGCTCACTCCCTCCCTGTTCTCATGCCTCCCGCCCTCCCTGCTCTCATGCCTCACTCCCTCCCTGCTCTCATGCCTCACTCCCTCCCTGCTCTCATGCCTCACTCCCTCCCTGCCCTCATGCCTCACTCCCTCTCTGCTCTCATGCCTAACTCCCTCCCTGCTCTCATGCCAAACTCCCTCCCTGCTCTCATGCCTCACTCCCTCCCTGCTCTCATGCCTCACTCCCTCCCTGCTCTCATGCCTCACTCCCTCTCTTCTCTTATGCCTCACTCCCTCCCTGCTCTCATGCCTCACTCCCTCCCTGCTCTCATGCCTCACTCCCTCCCTGCTCTCATGGCTCACTCCCTCCCTGTTCTCATGCCTCCCGCCCTCCCTGCTCTCATGCCTCACTCCCTCCCTGCTCTCATGCCTCACTCCCTCCCTGCCCTAATGCCTCACTCCCTCTCTGCTCTCATGCCTAACTCCCTCCCTGCTCTCATGCCTCACTCCCTCCCTGCTCTCATGCCTCACTCCCTCCCTGCTCTCATGCCTCACTCCCTCCCTTCTCTCATGCCTCACTCCCTCCCTGCTCTCATGCCTCACTCCCTCCCTGCTCTCATCCCTCACTCCCTCCCTGTTCTCATGCCTCCCGCCCTCCCTGCTCTCATGCCTCGCTCCCTCCCTGCTCTCATGGCTCACTCCCTCCCTGCTCTCATGCCTTACTTCCTCCCTGCTCTCACGCCTCACTCACTCCCTCCTCTCATGCCTTACTCCCTCCCTGCTCGCATGCCTCACTCCCACCATGCTCTCAAGCCTCACTCCCTCCCTGATCTCATGCCTCACTCCCTCCCTGCCCTCATGCCTCACTCCCTCTCTGCTCTCATGCGTAACTCCCTCCCTGCTCTCATGCCTAACTCCCTCCCTTCTATCATGCCTCACTCCCTCCCTGCTCTCATGCCTTACTCCCTCCCTGCTCTCATGCCTCACTTCCGCCCTGCTCTCATGCTCTCACTCCTTCCCTGCTCACATGCCTCACTCCCACCCTGCTCTCATGCCTCACTCCCTCCCTGCTCTCATGCCTCACTCCCTCCCTGCCCTCATGGCTCACTCCCTCTTTGCTCTCATGCCTAACTCCCTCCCTGCTCTCATGCATATCTCCCTCCCTGCTCTCACGCCTCACTCCCTCCCTGCTCTCATGCCTCACTCCCTCCCTGCTCTCATGCCTCACTCCCTACCTGCTCTCACGCCTCACCCCCTCCCTCCCCTCATGCCTCACCCCCTCCCTGCTCTCATGCCTCACTCCCTCCCTGCTCTCACGCCTCACTCCCTCCCTCCTCGCATGCCTCACTCCCTCCCTGCTCTCATGCCTCACTCCCTCCCTGCTCTCGCGCCTCACTCCCTCCCTGCTCTCATGCCTCACTCCCTCCCTGCTCTCATGCCTCACTCCCTCCCTGCTCTCATGCCTCACTCCCTCCCTGCTCTCACGCCTCACTCCCTCCCTCCTCTCATGCCAAACTCCCTCCCTGCTCTCATGCCTCACTCCCTCCCTGCTCTCATGCCTCCCACCCTCCCTGTTCTCATGCCTCCCGCCCTCCCTGCTCTCATGCCTCACTCCCTCCCTGTTCTCATGCCTCCCGCCCTCCCTGCTCTCATGCCTCACTCCCACCCTGCTCTCATGCCTCACTCCCTCCCTGCTCTCACGCCTCACTCCCTCCCTGCTCTCATGCCTCACACCCTCCCTGCTCTCACGCCTCACTCCCTCCCTCCTCTCATGCCTCACTCCCTCCCTGCTCTCATGCCTCACTCCCTACCTGCTCTCACGCCTCACCCCCTCCCTCCCCTCATGCCTCACCCCCTCCCTGCTCTCATGCCTCACTCCCTCCCTGCTCTCACGCCTCACTCCCTCCCTCCTCGCATGCCTCACTCCCTCCCTGCTCTCATGCCTCACTCCCTCCCTGCTCTCGCGCCTCACTCCCTCCCTGCTCTCATGCCTCACTCCCTCCCTGCTCTCGCGCCTCACTCCCTCCCTGCTCTCATGCCTCACTCCCTCCCTGCTCTCATGCCTCACTCCCTCCCTGCTCTCATGCCGACACAAGCCACACTGTGATACACCATTCAAACGTTCACACAAGCACTAGATAGCACTGACATAGACTCACGATTCATTCCATGCCATGCATGCACACACACAAACAAGGACGACAAGCCGAGTGCAAGCCATAGGATTGCACCAACAAACTCCCCCTCGGATTGTTGGCCTTAGAATCTGCTCCCCTTAGTTCAGAGCCATCCCAGCAAGCTTGCAACACTTCCAATGCTGCTGCTCAACCAGCCTCTTGGTCATGATATCAGCTGGCTGCGCCGTCGTCTTCACGTAGTGCAACTCTACTTCACCCGCGGTTACCATGCTCCTCACCCAATGCCACTTCACCTTCATGTGCTTGGTAAGGCCATGAAGAACGGGGTTCTTAGCCAATGCAATAGCACCCTGGCTATCACAATAGAGTGGGGTAGGTCCTTGCTGCTCCTCCCCCAATTCAGCTAGCAAACGCCGCTGCCACACAACCTCTCTTATGGCACGGAAAAGTGCCATGTACTCGGACTCCACCGAGCTCAATGCTTGGTCCACTTGTTTCTTGCTCTCCCAAGCTGTTGGGCCTCCACCAACACAGCAGATGAAGCCTCCCACACTTGTCATATCCTCTGGTTCTGATGCCCAAGATGCATCAGAGAAGGCGGTGAGAAAAAGCCTCCTGGGTTCGACTCCATCCGCACCCATTTGACGCCATTGTGCCGCCGCGGAGTATTGCAGTCCAACTGTTGCTGCTTGGCCAAGGTACTTGGCCACCCTCTCTCCAGCAGCTACCTGCTCCTCATTAGGGCATTGGACAACCCTAGCCAGCTGCCCGGTAGCAAAGGCTGCATCCGGCCTTGTGTGCACGGCCGCATACATGAGGCTGCCCACCAAGGAGTGAAAACGGCGCCTCTCCTCTTCACCAACACTTTCCTCCGCTGGTCCTTTCACACACTTGAACCCTGAGGGAAGAGGAGTAGCCACATGACCTTCACTCTTCCCAAAGTTTGCAGCCAAGGCCTCCAAGTACTTCTTTTGATGCACTCGCATCCACCGCAGTTCCACATCTCTCTCAATGTGAAGCCCAAGGTAGTAGTTGACATCACCAAGGGTCTTGCACTTGAACTTGTCTTGAAGCTTCAGCATCACCTCCTTCACAAGGTCAGAGGAGGGTGAGAATATGAGGATGTCATCCACATAAACCACCATGAAGCTCCTCTGCTCCCCCTCGCCAAGCATGAACAACGATTGATCGGCCGTTGAGGGAGTGAAGCCGATCGCCTCCAAGACTTCCCGCAGCTTGATGTACCATTGCCTAGGGGCTTGCTTGAGGCCATAGAGTGCTTTCTTCAGCTTCCACACTCTGCCACTCCCATCATTGTACCCCTCTGGCTGCTCCATGAAGGTCTCTTCCTCCAAAACGCCGTTGAGGAAGGCCGTTACTATATCCATTTGCTTCACCACCCATCCTTTGATGGCCGCCGCGGCGAAGAGGGTTCGAAGGGTTGTACCCTTCACCACAGGGGCATACACTTCATTGTAGTCCTTCTTCTCTTGCTGCTGATACCCCTTGGCTACAAGTCTGCTCTTGTAGCGCTCGATGTTGCCGTCGGCGTCGGTCTTGCGCTTGAAGAGCCACTTGGAAGAGATCGCCTTCCGCCCCGGAGGTAGGTTCACCAAGTCAAACGTGTCGTTCTCGATGATGCTCCCCATTTCTTCATCTGAGGCCTTCTTCCACTCCTTCCCATTGGGGCCCTCCCAAGCCTCCTTGGGATTTGTAGGCTCCCCCGGTATCTCCATCGGAGAGAAGAAGGCAAAAGCGCACTCCTCGCTTTCATCTTCCGCATCATCGCCTAGCATGAGAGCCGAACCGGTCAAGGTTGAGTTGGCTGGTCCTCCAAGCCGTTCATTGCTCAACCTATTAGGGGGCTGAGTCCTCCTTCTCCCCCTTCCTTCCTCCTCTGCTGCAGGGACTTGAATGCTCTCATGGCTTTGCGGTAAGTCCGGTCGGTTCCCGCGAGCACTTGTAGCACGAGGCGGAAGTGGCGGTGCACGCTCATTACCTTGCTGCACCTCCTCCTCCTCCTCATCCCCATTCATTTGGGGAGATTGCCTCGTGATTGTGCTGCTGCTACTCAGCTCCAAGGGCAGCTCCACATGCTCCAAGCCGGTCCTCTTCACCTCTCCAAGCCGCACACCAATCTTCGCTTGGTTCTCCGCCTTCCACTCCTTGTACGGTAAGTTCTCCATGAACTTGCAATCTCTGCTCACCAGGAACTTCTTGGTAAATGGTTCCCATAGAAGCCATCCCTTGCTGTTTTGGGCCATGCCCAGGTGCACGGCCCATGTTGCCTTGGCATCAAGCTTGTTGTGCCGAAGTTTCTTAGGCACAAGTGCCATGCACATGCACCCAAACACCCGAAGCATATCCACCTTCGGCTTCCTTCCAATCCACTCCACATAGGGCACCCATTTGTCTTCTCCCACATGATTCAAGGCTCTGTTCTTGGCCACACAAGCATGCCGCACCGCATCCGGCCAAAAGTAATTGGGTAGACCGGCTTCAATGACAAGTCCCCGAGCCGTCTCCGTGAGAGTCCGATTCGCACGCTCGGCGATGCCGTTCATTGCAGGAGAGTAGGGCATGGTAAGAGAGTGCCTTATGCCCTGCTTCTTCAGCCAAGTTGAGAAATCCTTGCTCAGGAACTCTCAGTGCGAATTGCCTTCACAAGTCGGTCTTGTTGCCGCTCCACCATCGGCAACCAATCGGTCTTCACCATTTCAGCTACGTCACTCTTCTTGGGCAGCACAGACACCCAAGTCATGCGAGTGTAGACGTCCACAATGGTGAGGAAGTACTCAGCTCCACCAGCTCCAAGCTTCAAGGGGCCCACCACATCCATCACCACCTCATCAAGTGGTGCCTTCGCCGTTGTCTCCGAGCTATGGAACGGGTAGCGGGTGAACTTGGCTTGCATGCATGTTGGACAGCCAAGCACCTCATTGGGCTCCCCCTTGACACGTATCCCACTGACCATCTCTTGCTTAACTATCTGCTGCAAAATGGGCAATGCCACATGCCCCATTCGTCGATGCAAGGTCAGCCAATCACACTCTCCCGTAGCGGAAGTCGGGTTGGAGAAAGCGGCACTCGCAATCGTGCCCCACAAGCTCTCTCCTTTCTCCTTTGCCGCTGCTGCTTTGCTGATCTTAGGATTCTCCTCCTCATTTCCACCACCTTTGGCTGCTGCACCACTGTCCTTGGGTTCACACGCCTTGCTAGTCTCTCCAAGGTTGCACTTCTTCGAGTCACTCTTGGTGTCACTTTGTTTTCCGTGATCACCGCCACCAACCGCTTCACTCTTGGTGCTGACGCTTGCTGCCACTTGCCTCTCCTTAGGCATGGGGACCACTGGGATTTGCCACATCTCATTGTAGATGTCCCTGTCCTCATGAAGGTCCCAAAGCTTCCGCTCACCAAGCCTCGCGGTATATGTTTCGGAGCCCTTGGAAGATGTGTCCATGCCGGCCTTTTGCAAACGCCGAACAGAGATCACGTTGGCTGCAAGGTTGGGCACTCAAAGCACGTTCTTGAGGCCCACCATCTTCCCATCAGCACCCTTGAACATGGCCTTGCCCATGCCTTTCACCTCTGCTCGCTGCCCCAAAGCCGATGTAACATGCTTGACCGGCGACGGTTCGAGTTCGGTGAGCAAGTCCGCACGAGGTTCGAGTTCGATAGCGCCGCTATCGATCACCCAAAATTCCAGAGAGTGAAGGGTGACCTTTCCCACAGTTGCTGGCTCCTCAAAGCCATCCACACCTCCTGCTGCAGCTGCCGCTTGTGTGGAGACAAAGAAGAGTTGGCCCGGGTATCGATCTTCACTCGAGTCCTTGTCGTAGTCTCCACCTTTCATGCTTGCCGCTTCGCCTCCACGGCCACCACGGCCTCCACGACCTCTGCCTCTTCCTCCCCTTGCTCCTCTGCCCTCTTGGCCTTGAGAAGGGGTCCATCCATCAGGCAATCTGAAGCAATCTCTCCACATGTGGCCGGTCTTGTGACAAAAGTGGCATTCGCCATCAAATCGACCGCGCCCACGCCCGTAGCCATTGTTGTTGTTGCTGCCATATCCTCCATTACCACGGCCTCCACTGAAGTTACTACTGCCAAATCTTCCTCCTCGCCCTCTGCCCCTTTCACGGCCGTGCCCACGGCCTATGCTTGCAACTCCGGCACCATCGGGACCCGCCAATTCGCGACGGCGGAAATCTTCTTGTAAGATTTCCCGCTTCACATCTTCGAGTGAGACACGGGGCAGATCTCGATTAAAGTTGATGATGAGCGAGGACCATGAGTCCGGAAGTAAGGCTAGCAGCTTGGTCTTCTTTTGAAGGTCACTGTAGTTCAGGTCAGCTCCTTCGAGCCGTGTCAATAAGTTGAAGAATTTCTGCACTCCTTCCTCCACCGGTTCGCCTTCGTCAATTCAAAGTGCCGCCATTTGCCGCTCCAAAACCACAGCCACCGCCGCTGTTGCAGGAGCGTGTACACCCTTGAGAGCAGCCCATGCCTTTGGTCCCTTTGCTGGTTCACGCTGAAAAGGCTTGATGTGACGGATTTGGCTGCTCCCCAACGCTTGCCCAAGTAGAAGGTAGCCTTGTGCGCTCTTCCGCACCCACGGGCTCTTCTCCGGGTCGTTCTCGGGGCACTTCTCCGTTCCTTCCATCACTTCCAGCAGATCATAATGGTCAAAGATGTTCTCCATCTTGAAGGACCACTCAGCAAAGTTGTCACCGTTGAACTTGTCAAGGCCAAACACTCTAGGCTCATCCCTAGAGGGTCCAAGGCTAGGTTGCACCGGAGCAACGGGTGGATCTTGGTGTTGACCTTGTGCTTGGGCGTCTTCTCTGCCTCCAACACCTCTGCCACCCCCTTCCTCAGGCCTAGGCATGGTCGAGACGGCTCCAAGGGGCTCTGATACCACTTGTTATAATCACAATAGGCTCAGATGTGCTTAAAATGAGAGAAATTCAGGACAGTCAGAATTCAATCAGACAGCTTCAAAACTTGGTGGTGATCTGATCTGTGCCTCCAACGATGATCTGTAAATTGAATCTGAAGCGCGTTGCTTTCGCCTATCACCAGCAAGTTGAATCATAAGATTCCATGAAGATTTGACGACGCTATGGCGGTTTGACTGGCAGGAGGTACAGCAGCCACTATAGTCTTAGGAGTACAAACTTAGCAAGGAGAGTTCGAGAGGGAGATGGTTCCCAGCCTCTACATACCCCAAGAGAGGAGGTCCAGGTTGGTGGTACACCACCACAGAGTCCCCAACCATGAAGAGTCTCGAAACCAACCCTCCAAGGGGCTACCCCAAGTGAAATGTAACACTACACGAAGTAACGTTACTATTTTCACTATTTAATATTTATCAGCGTCCCTTGGGCTTGAAATCTTGAGCTCTTGGTCTTGGATCTGCAAGATAAATTCTTCTTGAGTTGA